AGCAATAAGACTAGGTAGCACATGTACGCATTCTCTCTCTTTCTGTCTGACTTGTAAGGCCATCTCCTTCACCTATAAAGGGGATGGGCTCTCTCGCAACACGGACTCTCTCTCTCTCTCTCGCTCTCTCTCTCAATCTGGCTCTAGACAACTTGAGCATTCGAACAGCTCCACAACTCTAGAACTCAACAGCTACACAGAGCATATGTTACAATACTTAGCGCACATTAGAGCCCCCGTCACTCTCGGCTCTTCGGTTCAGAGTCCGATCGGGCCTTTAACACCCCTTCTTATTCCTATTCGTTTGTAACCACACAGGGCTCAGGAATAAAGTCACCAACCGACTAAAACTGGACGTAGGGCACGTTGCCTGAACCAGTATAAATCATGTGTCATTGAGTGCTAGGCCACATCCGATCACAACGCACGGCAAAACTATAAATATTTACTTGTTGATCATTTTTCGCACCGACACAAATAAAAAAAAGAAGTATCATAGTTATGAACTTTTCATTTAAGATAAGACAATACTACTCCTTTTTATAGATATTTGCTACTAAAAAATAAAAATTCGACTTATCACAAAATTAGATGAATTATCAATGGAATAACGTAGTAGCTTAGTTGGAAGCGGGCAAGCGGCGACGACGCAGATCGCTATGCGTCTGGCCACCCTGCATTGGGAATAATTACCGGCGCTCACGGTCAGAGAGAGCAGTCCATACGAGCCGTGCCAAGCCATATTCTGAAGTCAAAGGGCGTCCCCGTATCGGTCGTCCAACTGCATCGCCGTGCACAACTCCTGATTTGGTTAACTAGCCAAATCCAAATCGTTGGTCACTGGAGCTCAGAAAATTAGGGCGTCCAGTCGATCGATCGGAGCTGGGCGCGCGTGCTGAGAGACTGGTGGTGGATTTTGTGGAGTGGTGCGTCCATCACATCGAGGTCGAGATTGTTGGTGGATTTTGTGGAGGACAAGGGAGAACGGACATGGAGACGCGGTGCAAGACCGGACCGGCCGGCCGGAGGGTGCGCGCGAGAAGCGAAGGCCTCTCAGAATGGTTATTTAGACCAAATCCCAGGTTGTTGTGCGCGCGAGGATAAAAGAATCGCGAGTGATCAAAGTGAGGAGGTCGAATCTGATTTCGACGAACACGTCAGGACAACAGGCCTTCCGCCATGCACATCGTCGTTCTACTTGTTTATCATTTTGACTGCATTGACCATATTCATCTACACATACGTCCGTCTGATTGTATTGACTGTATATATTGACCCTAAATAAAATTGATTGTCCTGATCAGGCTATGCAGACGTACATATATATTTCAGGAGATCCTTACGTTTGTGAAATCTATCTACTACGGAGTACGTACGTTAGTTCACTATCTATTGGGGCATGAATATGGAGAAGTAATTATTATTGCCACCAGATGCATGGATCTTGTTATGATCTTTCAGGGTATCCCACATGAGGCAGCCATAATGATATCATCCCCATACCTACTACTCCACTGTATAAGCCCGTGCATTTAAGCTCCACAAATTCCAATTTGCTTTACTTTTGATGATGCCCTGTCGGAGACACAAAGTAGTCCTATATAGCTAATCAAGCAGAGTACGTGATCCCTCACAACGTAGAGGATACCGACCAAATACACCATAACAAATTATCCAAATAAAGCCACGATAATTATTATCATCCCCCCAAAACAGCTTTACCCGGAGGAGCCGGTTCATGCTCGCATGCACGGGCACGAGCCTTCAACACACGCACACCTGTGCATGATAAAAAGGATCTCCTCCATGCATGCACGTCGATCACTTTTGCCACCAAAAGACGCACACGTAAACGATTCAGCGAGCTAGGCCGATCAGGAGGAGAAACCAATCATGGCGCGTCCGCCCAATCCAAATCCATTCGTCACGCGAGACAGGATTGCGCGACCGCGAGTTAACTAATATAATCCCCGGCTCGGCGGCACGTTAGCAATCACGACGTCCGTCTTTGGAGCTGGACCACGCGCTGAGTCCGGCCGGCCGCGCCGGGGCGATCCGATCCTTCGGCTAGGCGAAGAAGGGCCCAAATTGAGATCCCCGCGACGACGCGACTCGGCCGGCCGCGCCCGCGCCCGCGCGCCTATCCTCGGGAATTGGCTCCCACGCAGCACGGATTTTCCGTGCACGACGCGCTCGGGAACGCCCAAAGGCCGTAAAGCCGGCACGGCCGGCGCCACGACCGACGCGCCCGCCCGCGACTGGACTGCATGCCTGCCGAGATGGAGCAAGCTAGTTAGCAGGGCGCTCGGGCGCGGGCATCCCACACCATATGTAGTAGACGACCGGCGGTGCGGCGCCCCGGCATTATTCAAACGGCACGGCACACGGCCGCTTCCCCCTGAGCCGGCCGTGACACCCCGGGCTTAAAAAACGCGGCAAAGCAAAAGGAATGAGGTGGTGCTGCCGCCGCTTTCCGGAGCGGCCGCTCGCGATCTCATTCCGACTGCCCGCCCCTGCCGCGGCTGGCCCGTGTGGCCCTATCATTGGTATCTGCCGAGCGACGCCCCAAAAGCATGACATCCGCCTCAGCTTTTCAGGAGCTCAGCCCCATGGTCGTCGAAAAGCTCCATCTCCCGCGGACTTAACGGGGTGAGTGTGACTGTCTGTGACCCAATCAAGCTACTACTACGAACCTCTAAGCTCTACTAGAGTGCGCGCACTCCGAACAAGCCGGATCACGAGCGGCGACTGACGAGAGCTGCTCTTGTTTGTCCGGCGAATGCATGAGACTATGAGAGGACTGTTTTGTTGCCTTGCTTAGCCTCGTCCGTACGGTCTCCTAGCTGGTTGTTGTTGGAACGTGACTGATGCTGCCACGCCTTTTTGAGCTGGCGCTGATGAGAATTTGTGCAAATTAAAGCAACTAGTAGTAGCTGGTAGACGACAGGAATTCGGCCGGATCGAGTGTCATGCACGTACGGAGCTCGCGTTTCTGCGTTAACTTGCATGCACGTCGTCGTGATGATTGGGCATGTTCCGTAGGCGCGTGGCTGTCGCCGTGTGAAAAACAAGCGGCCGGGTGGTGCAGGCGGCTATCGATCGATCGCAGGCAGGCCAGGCCGCGGCTACTACTCACATGCTCAACAGTGTAGTTGCCTCACCAATGGAATTGCTGTGGTACTGCGCCTACAGTTAGCTGGTGAGAACAGGATCGGGAGACATATGTAGCTGGAACGGATAGATAGGCGCTGGTTGACAGAACACAAAAGGCCATGCAACATGTTACCCGCCCTGACATCTCTTTTGAATCCCATGCATGCACGACTTATATATCATACTAATTTTGGCAAGCATGCATGCACTGACAAGTTTGACTCCAAGTCGGATCCCCAACCCAACGCATGCATGGGTGGAGAAATTGAAACCTCCAGCAGCTACCAATAGTTAACTCGCTTGCAAATACAAACTCACTACTATACAAGTGATAAACAAGAGAGCGAGGTGATTATATTTTTCTGTGAAACTGGCATGCATCTTGGCAATCGGTGTAGTTTGCAGCGGGAGAGATGCAGGATCTCTGTCTTTTTGCCGCTTAACTTGTTCAGAGAAGCTATATACTCGTCAAGAGAAGAGATAGATGTTAGCACGCCGCGCCGCGCCGGCCGTTTATTCAAAGCGCAAGAAGTAGAGACCAGCCGGCCGGCCGGCCGAGCGAACTCCGAAACGATGGGACACCTGTTCTTGGGATGCGTCTTCGCAAGAGAGCTTTGGTTCTCGCTGCTGTCGCCAGTCGGCTTGGCTATGCTCGTGCCGGAATATGACGAAGAGATCGGAGAATGGTGGCTGCGCCTGCGCCAACGTCTAGACTCGTCCGCTCGACCGATCTTCGATTCCATGTTCCTGCTCGTCGCTTGGAACTTATGGAAAGAAAGGAACAGCGTGACCTTTGGGAGAGCACAGCCACGGATGTCACGGCACTACGGCAAGCAGTCGCGCGGGAGGCTGAAGACTGGGTCGCGGCGGGGTTCACGTCGCTCGTGGTCCCTTCGGCAACTTGGTCGCCGCAATCAGGGCCAATGTAACAACGACTCACATGTCCAGTAGTTAGGTTGTAGTCGCTTGATGTTGGCTTCTCGCCACTATCAAGGATTGCTTTGTAACACTTGGTTACTATCCTTTTAATGAAAAACGGGTTGAACACGTACTACCTGATCGAGAAAAAAAAGCGAACTCCGAAACCAGATCCCCGATTGCCCGTGGGCCGTGAGCTAGGGGAGCCGGCCTGCTGGTCCTCGCCGCGATCGATTCCCTTCGACTAGGTCGCGACCCGTGCAAGGAGACAGAGATCACCATGGGACGCCACGCCGCCCACCCCAAATCAGCACCCGCCACCTCGGCATCATTAGATTAGAATACTCTCATGGACTCTCTCGGCAAACAGGGCTCATTCTAAGACATGGTGCTACGCGACAGGACGGCACTTAGATTTGCATGCATGGGCGACCAAAACCGCATTATCAATCGCGCTTAAGGATGTCGGGCGCGCCTCGCCAAGTCGCGAGAGCGTTTTGCTAAACAGTGGCAGCTTTTGCGCATGTCTCCCTCCCCACCTCGCGCGCTCTTCTCTTCTCGCACAGTTCGAGAAAGGAAAGGAAAACAAAAGGAAAGCACCGAGACCTTCGAATCCGCTACAGCCACTGCCACGACCACGGCCTCGGCACTGCCCCTGCACCGGCTATATAAGTACCCCCTCTGCGCATCTATTGATTTCAGCATTTCCTCTGACCGGAAGAAGATCCCGGAAGCAACCAAATCAGAAGCAGAAGCTAGCTAGCTAGTAGTTTGCATTAGCACGCAGCTAGCGCAGCTTCTTGCATTCGTTCATCGATCTTTCACAAACCACACACATATAGCTGAAGCAAATCCGATCTTATACTACTACAAGCTACACTACGATCGCTATATTTATCTATAGGTCGTGGAGTGATCGATCGACGATCATGGAGGCGCTGAGCGGGCGGGTCGGCGTCAAGTGCGGGCGGTGGAACCCTACGGCGGAGCAGGTGAAGGTCCTGACGGAGCTCTTCCGCGCGGGGCTGCGCACGCCCAGCACGGAGCAGATCCAGCGCATCTCCACCCACCTCAGCGCCTTCGGCAAGGTGGAGAGCAAGAACGTCTTCTACTGGTTCCAGAACCACAAGGCCCGCGAGCGTCACCGACACAAGAAGCGCCGCCGCGGCGCGTCTCCCCCGACGACAGCGGCAGCGGCAGCGGCAGCAACGAGGAAGACGGCTGCCGTGCTGCCGCCTCGCACGACGCCGAGCCCGACCTCGTGCTGCAGCCACCAGAGAGCAAGCGGGAGGCCAGAAGCTACGGTCACCATCACCGGCTCGCCGTGACATGTAAGCATGCAGCACACACATCGTCGATCCTTACTAGCAGCTACTACAAGTCTACAACATATATGTATTGGCCGGGGGCCCTGAGCCTGAGATGAACTAACTGATCGATCGGGTTGCCGTGCTCCGTGCATGCAGGCTACGTCAGGGACGTGGTGGAGCAGCAGGAGGAGACGTGGGAGCGGCCGACGAGGGAGGTGGAGACGCTGGACCTCTTCCCCCTCAAGTCGTACGTCGACCTCGAGGCGGCGGAGAAGGTCCGGTACGTCAGGGGCAGCGCCGCCAGCGAGCAGTGCAGGGAGTTCTCCTTCTTCGACGTCTCCGCCGGCGGCCGGGATCCGCCGCTTGAGCTCAGGCTCTGCAGCTTCGGTCCCTAGCTAGTTCGGCCAGCGCGTGCATGCACACGTACTGCTAGCTGCATGTTGCGCGGCTGCGACCGTGGCCTTGTCGCATGCATCATTGTGTAGTCCTTGGTTCTAGTAGCTAATACCGACATGAAAAGATGTGTGAGATGAAATACGGCATAAGCTGTACGTACGCTCTACCAACGACGTTGCATGAAGAATCTGAGAGGATCAGGGAAAGAGCATGCAGCTGAGATTTCAGCTGCCTTTTCGTTGATCTTTTCATCATGAGAGATGTACTGCGTGCCACTTCTTTCGTTCATTTCTGGTCCTGCCTTCATGGCATGCTAAAATTAATTAACCTTGTGCTCCCTACTGATGACATATCATCTAAATTCCATAGCCATTTTTATATTTATTTATATTTATGCATATATACCTATATATGGTAATTCGTGTAACGTAGTCTGTTTCGATAGGTTTAGCACTAATCTTTATCTATTGCATATGCTCTGAGCGTCTTTGACCCTACTATGAACTTGACTGTTTTGTTTTATATGTTTGTGTGGCTTGTGATCTGTGATTCACGCATGAATCTATTGCGTTAGGTGGGAACTAAAGACGCATGCAGTAGGAAACACAGCAGGCTTTTACAGGATGCATACATTGGGTTCAAACTGTCGTGCTACGGCCACCCTATTTTTAACCGTGAGTGCTTGCTGTTGCTGGCTATCATCATAAGAAAATACTTCTGACTTGTTCACAGCATGTGATAGTCAACCACCACCCGCTTGCCTCTAGGAAATTGTTGGCTATATAATCAGTTTGCTTTGGATGCTTGTCGTTGGACATGGAGTTTCAAAGCTTGCAGCTAACTTTTCGGCAATCTGGGCCATGCTCTCTTGTTTGTTGACTCTTTCACACTGACTACTGGTCACTTAATCTGCATGCCAACAGTAAACATACTGGTACTGTTGTACCACATTCCATGTGCAGCTTTGCAGGTTTCAAACTATGCGAAAAGAAACATTCGATTTGCCTGACGGACTCACCGGCCGAAAAGGAGAAGTACACTAGTGTTGCAGAATGTTTGGTAGTAAGCTGTACTAACGTTGAAGAAAAAGGTACTAGTGTTGAAGAATGTTTGGTTAACAAATTTATTTGTAAATAAGTCATGTAATTTCCGTTTTATAAAATTTAGTATGTTTTTATTCGGATTATTTGCAAATTAATTTGGCACTCCACTTAATTTTCTATATATTGCAATTGTAATTTTGACGATCAACTAAACACCTATATAGAACAATAACAGATGAGAAACGCGCGCTTGCAAAAGGAAGAGAAAGAGGGTGTACTAGATAAGAAATCAACTTTCAAAGGAAAAGGAGGAGGCCAGGATTTTTTTTTTAAGCAGAAGGAGGCCAGGATTTGGATAAGGAAAAGTCACTTTTGCAAAGGAAATGGAGGTAGCCTGTACTAATCAGAGCCCATCATTTCAGTTTGGAAGGGCTGGAAATAAATGGGCTCGTAGGCTTGTCGCGGCAAAATAATGCTGGCTCGTACGCTTGTCGTAGGAACGTAATGCTTACTGGGCTCGTCTGTGTTGTAGCCCAGACCGGCCCAGCGACCCAACAGGTTGAAAGCACGGACGAAATGCGAGAAGACGGTTAGAATTTTAATTTTTTTCTTGAGAAAACAAATGGAATAGAAGTGGACATCCACGTAATCCGTGTGAACGCGAGCCAGCTTTCTAATAGTTAATTAAAAAACAATTGGTAAATCAATGAGGTTTTCTAAGTGGCTAAAAAATGTTAGGAGCATATTTATTGTGTTCTCCAATCATTTTTAAAATCTCTAGTCATTTTCAAAATCTGTGTTCTAAAGATAAGAAGATAATTTTTCATCAAAACCAGACTATTTTCAAATATATCCAAACCACGCATGTACTTTTTTTTCCCGTGCATTTGCATCGGGAACCTTGAACCTTGTTTTTACTCCTTATTGGCTCACTGATACGTGTTGAAAATAATAGCAATTTAGTGACGCATAAATTAATTCTTAAGAAAAAACAACAGCATATATCATAGGTGTGCGAATTAACACTAGCACTACGATCCAAGGCAAACTCAAACTCTCTAGTGCTAGTAACAGAAGGAACGCAAGAACGAACAACAGAGTAAGTGTAGGCATTATTACAGTGGGGTTGTCGGTGCTAGAGATAGCGCAATAGTAGACGAAGTGGACCGTCGGTGGAGATCATCGAATACCATCATAGAGGGAAGAAGACGTTCAATGAGCAATCACGACAGCGCTAATCAATAACCTGATACGGCCCCTACCCTGTGCAGGGACACGAGGGGGCGTAGGATTCATATATCTGCTCTCCCAGCGCCGATGACACGTCGGTGACAAGATAGGGAAGACGGCGGCGGCGCAGCACAGTGGTAAGAGGAGGAGATGAGTTGTCTGTATTGAGGACGACTTCTCATCTCAATATATATACGCGCCACAGCTATGGTAAATAATTAGCTGCACAATCGTAACATTAAGGTGATTGACGTGCGACTAGAGCAATTTTCTAACAATAGGCCAGCACATGTATGATTGGGGCTTTGGATTTATTTGGAATCTCTACAAGACGAAATCTACACCATGTTATCTAGCTTATTTTTCTAACACGTGTCCTACAAGACATAATCTGGCACCACACTTTAATGCATCATCAAACCATTCTCTAGAGAGTACAGTACGTGGGGGGATCTGGCACCTCAATTCGACACATGGCTCCGTTCGGCTTGCTGAATCTTGACTGAAAAACACTGTTCTAGCTGAAATGTTGTGAGAGAAAAACACTGTTCTGGTTGAAAAAAAAAGTCGAACAAGCCGGATATAGGGTAAGCCGAACGGGGCAGTATTCATCAAACCATTTTTCTAGGTAGTACTAGAACATATATATTTTTCCCTGTGAAAGAACCTTACATGTATCGTGTTCTGTTCAAATTCTAGAGAATTCTCCAACCTCCACCTGAACACCTTGTTTCATAGGTAGAAGGATAGCCACAGTATTATATATATAAGACAACCGGAGAGAAGTTCCCATCTCTTTATCGATAAGTATTATATATATAAGACAACCGGAGAGAAGTTCCCATCTCTTTATCGATAAGTATTATATATAAGACAACTGGAGAGAAGTTCCCATCTCTTTATCGATAAGTATTATATATAAGACAACCGGAGAGAAATAAGACAACCGAAGAGAAGTTTCCATCTCTTTATCGATAAGTATTATATATATAAGATAACAGGAGAGAAGTTCCCATCTCTTTATCGATAAGTATTATATATATATAAGACAACCGGAGAGAAGTTCCCATCTCTTTATCGATAAGTATTATAAACATCGCTCACTCGAGTTCTGCCCTCCATCACCATCACCCTACACAAAACAACGCCAATACACTATCTGAAACGACACAATAAGTCAACGGTGGTGAACACCAACAGCAAATACAAATCGAGGTTCTTCATCAGGGACAGCAAGATAATAACTCAATTTTTTTTTCATTATCTTCAGTAAAGATCGATTAGTCAGCAATACATATAGCAGCGGCCCTTCCTCATCCTTAGTTTCTCTTGTCTTGATCAGCTAACAGCCCCAATAGACACGGGGTCACATTGTCATATAATCCTCATAATCAAAATCAAACAAGCTGATAAAACAATACACTAATGTAAATTCAAACCTGCTTAACAAACTACTTTCTCCATATTATATTTAATCCATGTATCTTCTAAAAAGTTAAAGTTTATTTAAGATATGCACCATGGACTATATTGTTTTATACTATTAATATCCTGTTGTAATATTACATTTCTATTTCATTCACATTTACTAACTATTGATTTCCTCTTATGCAATAACAATGCCACATACTGTTCATTGTAGAAATGGGAAGCAGAGCATATAAAAAGACAGAAACAAGTATATTTTGTGGACAAAAACAAGATACATGCGAAAATAGAAGAGAGAAAACGGAAGATAGATGAAAAGAACCAGGTTGTACAAGAAGCTATAAAACGAAGATGCTTACAAGAAGATAAAAAACATGCATACTTATCTTTACCTCGTGGTATGATAAATTTCTCTGCTGAACAAATTCAATACCTCAAAGAAACATATGGGCAAAGATCATACTTGGGAATACCAAAATACAGTTGCAAATATTGCAATGCAATATTCTGGTACGAAGAACGAAACAAATATGATACTAAACGAGCTCATGGACATGTATTATACTCCAACTGCTGTAAATATGGCAAAATCAAAATACCACCATTCAAAGAACCACCCCAGTTTCTCAAAAGGTTATTGGATTACAGTGGAGATGGATACTCGAGACATTTCCTACAAAAGATAAGACAATACAATAGTATGTTTGCTTTTACATCTATGGGGGGCAATATTGATAGAACTATCAATAAGGGAGAAGGCCCCTACGTATTTCGAATAAACGGCAAAATACATCATCGCATAGGATCATTGTTACCTGAACCAAATAAAATACCTAAGTTCACCGAGCTATATATCTTTGATACTAAAAATGAGATTGAAAATAGAATACGAGCTTAAGTAAAGAAGATCAGGATGGAACTGATCTTAACGATATGACATTGGAAAATTATAAAAGGGATATAATTGTTAGCACTCGAACAAAGACACTACAACATATATCTATATTTCATCCAGCATATATGCCACTACAATATCCATTATTATTCCCTTATGGAGAAAGAGGATTTCAATTAGGCATAGAATATCATAAGAAAACAAGAAATCAAACAACTCAGCAAAAAAGGAACACGGTGACAATGCATTAATTTTTTAAGTACCATATGCACTATAGAAAAAACCAACCGAACCCATATTTATGCTATGTACGATTATCAAAACAAGCAATTGTAGATGCACGAGCAATGGAAGATGAAGATAGACTTCGATTTGTTGCAAAAAAATCAAAAAAATGAGAGCT